CTCCCTTACAGAGGAGGGTATAGCTGCTTCCTTGTTCTTTGACCTGCCTATCTCCTGCTTGCTGGGTTTCGCTCAGTGCAGCAACGTTGATGTTGTGTTCCCTGAGTTCTTGAGCCAAGGTTGTGGTGTGGCACTCTGGGCATTCACTATTAGGATTGTTCATGAGGGTCCTGATGTTCCAGGTCCTGAAAATGATTGTCTTTGTTGATTTTGACCGCAGTAAAGGTGATCCCACTGGACATGGTTATCCAGTCAGGAAAAAAAAAATAGTCACACTAAGTGAGCAGAGTGGATTTTGAAGAGGGCTGCTCAGTCAGTTATAGTTGTTGAATCACACTCCTGATTACCCCATCCAAGTGCTAACTCGTGACTAGGAGCTTCCAGACGTCACAATCCTACTCCCATTGTCATTAGCCGGTCACCAAAGGACTTGAAGAATGTGTTGGAAAAGCTGTTTCCACAGAAGATGCCCGTGTATGATTTCTTCTATCGTGGAGAAGCTGCTGTACACCAGCTTCCACATTCTTGACTCAGGTACTACAGTATAAGTCTTTCACGAGTCCAAAACTTTCAAAATGACCTAAATTGAATCAATAAGCGTGTAGCCTACACTGGGCATATACAAAAATGCTGTATACACTGCCTAGGGATATCATAAATCCTCCCACACTGGGAGTCTTCATATCAACTGAATCTCTTTCAAACTATTAGCTTCAATATAGAAATCATTGCTTTTAATTTTATTACCTCTCTTCTGCAGATGATCCTAACAGTGCCTTCTAGCCATAAAAATCTATGAATATCTGACTTGATAGATATATAAATTATTTTTTAATCATAAAAAGTTACATTACTTCACTAAATGTAGCTACAGCAAAAGTTACTGGATTCCAACTCTGTTTTTGGACTCGTGACCCTCATTATCCTCAATCTGCAACACACACAGTCATGAGAACCAAGCTCCTCTTGGTTCTGGAGAAATAAGTGAAAAATCTAATACAGCAGAGAATTAAAACAAAAAGGCCAGCTAAAACCTCATGTGTTCAGTGTAAGACTAAAAACTACTATACCTGACAGTTCCCGTTTCAAGAAGTCACTGAGACCTAGAAAATTGTGATGCAGAACTAATAAAAATATGACAACAGCCAATGCAAGGATGAAAATGTTCACTGGAAGAGAGAGAAAGAGAGAGTTTGTTAGGAGAATATAACAGCTCATGAAAATTAAAAAGCACAGAATGCTTTTGAAAAAAAACCCATACCTTTTCTGAATGTCATTTTCCCCTTGTATCTTTGTGGCTAAGTATCGCCACGTTAAAAGCCTATAATGGGAAAAGATATCAGTTATATCATGGTATCAGCTCATAGATACAGAAGACCTACAAATGTAAAATTATTTTACTGAACACAAAGAATATTTACAGTATTTTCCTTCCTTGAGAAAAAACTCTGAATCCTATTTTAATGATCCAGCAAATCTTATACCCAAGTAGGCATCTAGTTAGGGTTCAACTTCTAGTGGGTGCTTCCTATAAATAAAAGGGAGAGAAGCAGAATTTAGGGAGAGGAGCAGGAGGAAACAATGGTAAGTTACTTCATACACAAGACTTGTTCATCCATAAATCTCAGTATGCTTTAAGTGGGACAGTATTATCACCTACATTTTACTGACAGAGAAACTGCAGTAGACAAACAAAATGAATTGTATAAAGTTAAATTAGTTTACAGGAAGGCTGGAACTATACCTGCCTTTTAGTCTCTCGTTCCATTAGCTTGACTATGCTTCAAGATAAGAATCAACTTTACTGGGAAGGAGGAGATGGAAGAACTGGGCACTGTTTGGCAGAGCTAATCCCTATTTTGCTGTGAACTGGGAAAAAAAAAGTTTTCCAGAAAAGACCCAACTACTTCAGCCTATACAAACCAGGCTGAAACCAAAGCTATCAAACTAGCTTTGTATATATAGGCTCACTCAATTTACCCATACTGAAACAGATGAGACAGAAGCTATCAAACACAATCTGTAAGGGCTTTCAAAAACTCGTGATGAGTTCTTTTTGATGCTGAGCCAACCTACTTAACTATCTGGGCAAGAAAGCATCCAGGCAGCAGGGCAAATATCTGTATCTGTATCTATTTCATGCTTAACTGGCTGTGGAGGCTTTATGTGAGTCCAGTACATTGTCTGCAAATATAAGAGACAATCAAAATGTACCTATACACAAAGTAACAGTCAGCAGACCACATGAGACACCCAAAGTCCAGATCAGAAAAGATACTGCCTTCAGTTTAAGAGAAGAAGAAAGTAAACCCAAAGCCAGTGTGTTATTTCTTTATTATTATTTTGGCAGAAATGACTCCTGTAATCCATGAACGGAACATGAAAGTCAAAGTATGGGCCTCACACATACCTAGTCACCCCTGACAATAACTGATCATAGATACAAAACAAGGCAACGTGCACATCCTGACTCAACTTCCAAATGCTACCTAGTAAACACTTGCACTGTTTTGTAACAAATTCAGGAGAAGCTGAAAAAGTGTTATACCAAATCAGTAACTACAGTCTTTACATGAAGGTAACAACAAACCACAGTCAGAAAATGCTTATGCTGGGCCTGGCTGGACAGTATAAAACAGGGGTGGGCAAAATAGGGCCTGCAGGCTGGATTTGGCCCACCAACTGATTGGACCCACCCCATGGGTGGGTGCCTACCAATTGATTGTATGTGGCCCATGGTGCTCTGTATGGGATTGAGCCCTCCGCTGCTCCTGCCCAGGGCAGTCTGCGCAGTGCTCCCACCTGCCCCAGCCACAGCCCAGGCTAGTGCAAACCACTTCCCAGTGGGGCTGCTCCTGCTACAGTTGCAGTTGCTCAGGTACTGCTCAGCTCCTCACACCTCCCATAGCTCCTCTTCCTGCCCCTGCTACATGGCTCCAGGCAGCAAGCAGTGTGGGGAAGCCTTGAGGATGCACACCAGGCAGCAGATGCCCAACCAGGTAGGGGGAAAGTTGCAGCTGTGCGGCTCCTGCCCCAACATGTGGGGCTCCAGCTCCAGGCCAGCTTCCACCCATTCTGCCCACAGTGTGATGAACAGCTGCCTTCAGGCAGCTGAGTGGGTGGGAGGCAGCCGGGAGCTGGATCCCCACATGCTGGGGCAGGAGACACCCAGCAGCAGCTTCCCCTGCCTTGCTCAGCATGTGGTGCCTCGCACATGTCCCCATGGCCACTGCTGCTACTGCTTCCATGCGCTACCTGCTGCCCTGAGCAGCACAGCAGGAGGAGGAGGAGGAAGAGCCTCTGGAGGCAGGAGGGGATGGCAGGGGGAGAGGGGTGGGAAGCTGTGCATGCAGGCAGGGGCTGGACTGGGCCTGTGGGAGCACGGCCCCCATGTGAAGCACCATGGGGGCAGCCATGGGCTGGGTTGGGGAGATGGGGCGGACCATACCTGCATGGCCCGGGCAAGCCTTGCTGTGTAAGCCTTCTTGCGCCCCACCCCCACAGCTGGCTCTCAGGACCTAGAATGCAGGCAGCCCACCCACATGTGCACCCGCTCCCCTCCCCCCCAATATGGAAGAGTAAGACTTTATTTTGAGCCATTATGCTCTAAATAGTGTACTTCTACATACACTACTCAAAAAAACAAATCAGGACAAAAAATATTTTTTGAAATAAATCGCGCTAAAAATTGAACTTCTACTATTACATATTTTAATTTTGTTTTTATCTATATTTTTTTCAAATTCTATCTTCTAAAAGATGTTGTGTAGCCCTCAACAGCTCCCAAAACTCATTTAGTGTCCCTTCAATTGAAATAATTGCCTACCCTTGGTGTCACTGAACAGATGTGTAATGATATTACATGCTCTTAGGAGATTTTTTCATGTTGGGTAATAGAACAAATTGTTTTTCCTGGAAATACTTTTCCTGAAAATGCTGTATTTTCAGTGTAACATAGGCCCCAAACCAGCGATACAGGGATACCCAGTCATTCACTTGAGGGGAACTGTGCACAAGTATTAAGTTGAGCACACCTATTTCAGGACCATCCTGCCACACGCAGATGCTAAGGAAGGTTTCATGACAACAACAGTTTCCCCAGCACCCACTGATACAGCTGCCGCCTGTGGCGGGCTCCAATGCCTGCTAAATAAGCTCTGGCCAGTGAATTAGACCCCGGATTTACCACACTTAGAGCTGTAACACAAACATCAGGAGCATACCAGCCCTGCTGCACCCGTGGGGAACGACGGGACGCGTGCAGTCCTCTATCTGGAGCCCAGCGGCTCCTCCAGCCTCGCCACAAACTCATCCGCCGGCGACAGGCTCCTCCCCGGCCCGAGCCCGTGCCCGCACCGCTCACCTGCTGCTGCACAAGAAGCGCGGCTGCGGGGCCTCAAGGGACCTTGCGCGGCGACGGAGCGCAGCCCTGGGGCCCGGGCGCGTGCCCGCCTCTGCCGGCGCCTTCAACTGGAGACGACCCCACCCCCGCTCACCAGCGGCGCCAACCAGGCGGCACCTGCCGGGCTCAGTACTGCCTGCGGGCGGCGGAGCGGGGTCACATCCTCTGCACCCACCGCCGACACGACTGACCGCCCGCGGCCAAGACTCTGACGCGCGGAACAAGGGCAGGGGCGCTCGCCCCGCCCCAGCCAGCGGCACTGGGCTGAGCACAGCCCTGCCTTACCCGGCGCCAAACGCCAACTCAGCAGCGCCCGGCGCAGCTGCTGCACAACGCAGCCTCGCCGCAGGCGTCGCCCGCGCTGCCTGACTGGGAAGCAACCGCATAAACCACGATGCGCGTTGAGACCATTTGCGGAGTCCACTCCGCGCAGAGCAGGTGGCAGACCTACGCGCAACCCCGTACAGAGCGGAGGCCCCGGCCGAGCCGTCAGTCAGGCAGCGCGTTAGGCGCGCCCGGGGTAAGAAGGACCCCGCGCGGGGCCTCGGATGCCCTGTGGATGTTGCTGTGGAAACGAAGCAGCGGGCACCCGGTAAGGCGGCTTGGAGCGGCAGTGCCCGGGTTGTAGCTTCTGCCTCCGGGTGGAGGCTGACGGGAAATGGGGCGGGGCCGGACCTCACTGCTTCCGGCCAGCTCAGCGCCCGCCCTCCGGAGCAGGATTCGCGGCGCCGCGGCTGTACTGACGCGGAGCGGGCGGTTTTCGGCGTCGGCCGCTCCCGACGCTTCGCGACCCTCCAGCTCTCAGGCCGGGGCTTCCGCCTCCGCATCCCCCTTCCCCCCGCAGGCCGGATCTGAGCGGGACGGGCCCAGCGGCAGTGCTGTGGACGAGGCGCGTGTCGCTGCCGCCATGCCGGACTTGCTGCGCTCCGGCCCCACGCAAATGGTAAGGGCGGCCCCGGCCGCGGGGCCCG